TTGTCTACTCGCTGGAGCCGAGCAGGAGGGCCCGGCGCACAACCCCTGGTCAACTCAGGGTCCACACCCCGTAGCCCGTTTGTGCCGCGTCCCGTGCCGCTCGCTCGGCACACTCGAGGACGCGTCATCAGCTCTGTGCGCGCAGACCCAGCCTCGCCCGGCGCGGTCCTCGTTGGGCTGTCGTGTCGTCCTCCCCCACCGCCGCCCGAACCTGTGTGCTGTGAGAGAGATTTGTGCTTACTGTCTCGCGCGCACCTAGAATTCTTCTTCTGCAGTTGTCTTTGTTAAATTCTTCTTCTGCCGCCCGGCGTAGCGAGCGAGCGGAGCGGGCGGGGGGGACTGCTATATAAAAGATGAGAAGAAAAAACTCACTCGGAGCACTTTGCGCCGGTTTTTCTTATTCGCTGCCGCCATGAGCCATGAGCGGCATCGCCCCGGTCGTGCCCGCCGAGCTGCGCCAGGGCAACCTGCGCTCGCTGCGCGCCCTCCTCGCCGGGTGGACGCGCGGCCCGGCGCTCACGGCCCTGCTCGACGCGCGGCTCGAGGCCGAGAACCAGTACACGCTGCTGTATATCGCCGCTCGGCACGGACAGGCCGACGCCGTGCGGCTGCTGCTCGAGAGCGGCGCGAGCGTGGGGGCAACGACGGGCCGTGGCTCCACCGCGCTGTTCATCGCGTGCCAGGAGGGCCAGCTCGAGTGCGTTCGGCTGCTTCTCGGCGCCAACGCTGACGCTGACCAAGCCAAGGACGGCGGTGTCACGCCGCTGTTCATCGCGTGCCAGAAGGGCCAGCTCGAGTGCGTGCGGCTGCTTCTCGCTGCTGGCGCGGCGGTCGAAAAAGCCGTGAATGACGGCACCACGCCGCTGAGCGCTGCGAGCCAGACTGGCCAGATCGACTGCGTCCGTCTGATGATCGCCACGGGCGCTGCGGTGAACCAAGCAGACACTGACGGCTTCACGCCGCTGCTCGTCGCGTGCCAGGAGGGTCACCTCGAGTGCGCCCAGCTGCTCCTCGGCGCCAGCGCGGCGGTCAACCAAGTCAAGGGCGGCGGTGCCACGCCGCTGTTCATGGCGTGCCAGAAGGGCCGCCTCGAGATCGTCCAGTTGCTTCTCGAGGCTGACGCGGCGGTCGAACAAGCCAAGGATGACGGTGCCACGCCGCTGTCCATCGCGTGCCAGCAGGGCCACCTCGAGTGCGCCCGGCTGCTTCTCGCTGCTGGCGCGGCGGTCGACCAAGCCGCGGACGGCGGCCTCACGCCGCTGCACGCTGCGTGCCTGGAGGGCCACCCCGCCGTCGTGCTCTGCCTGCTGCGGGCGGGCGCAGACGCGGCGGCGCGCACCTCGGACGGGCGTACGGCGCTGCAGCTGGCGAAGGAGAAGGGCCACACCGAGTGCGAGCGCGCCTTTGAGGCGGCGGCGAGGGAGGCGAAGAGAGCGGAGATTGAGGCGAAGGTGGAGAGGGCAGTGGCCGAGAGGGCGGCGGCCGAGAGGGTGGAGGCCGAGAGGGCGGCCGAGGAGGCTGCGGCGGCGCTGCTGGCGGAGGAGGAGTCGGAGAAGTGCGCCGAGGAGAAGAAGAAGGCCAAGAAGAGGGGCAAGAAGAAGAAGCAGGGCGGCGGGGGCGGCGCTGGGCCGTCGCAAGAGGCCGAGGCGCCGGCGGAAGAGGGGGAAGAGGAGGTGGTGGCGGCGGCGGCGGAGGCGGAGCTTGCGGCGGCGCTCGAGGAGAGGCGCGCGCGCGACAAGCTCAAGGAGGCGCGGAAGCGGGACAGCCAGCGGCTGCGCAAGGCGCATGGCGCGGCGATGGGCGCGCTCAAGTCGCTCGACACCGCGGACAGCCCCTCCGCGCTCCGAGCGGGCATCGCCGCCGCCAGGCCGCACGTGGGAGTGCTGCCTGCCTTGGCCGAGGAGGTGAGCGCGGCGGAGTCGCGGCTGGAAGAGCTGTCTGTCGCCGCCGAGCCGGCCGCGGCAGAGGCGGCTGTTGCTCGGCCCGTCGAGATAGCCCTGTCGGACCTCGCCGCGGCGACCGACGGGTTTGCAGAGGGCAAGCTGATTGGCAGCGGCGGCTTCAGCCACGTCTACGAGGCGTCGGCCGACCTCCACCGCTCCCTCGCCGCGCCTCCGCAGCTGCGCCACTTGCCGCTCGCCGTCAAGCGGGCAACGTCGGGCCAGTCGGGCGGCTTGTCTCGGGCGGAGCTCGAGGTGAAGCTGCTCAAGGCGGTGAGCCACCCGCACCTGCTGCCGCTGCTCGGCTACTGCCTCTCACCCGACGGCGTCTGCCTCCTCTCGCCGCTGATGCGCGGCGGCTCGCTCGAGGCGCGGCTGCGTATCTCGGATCTCGACTGCGCGGCGCAGCTCCGGCGGTTGGGCATGGCGGAGCCGCCGAGGCCGCTGACGTGGCGGCAGCGCGTGCGTGTCGCGTGCGAGGCGACCGAGGCGCTCGTCTACCTTCACTCGAAGGGCATCGTGCACCGCGACGTCAAGCCAGACAACATCCTGCTCGACGAGAAGCTGACCGCCGTGCTCGCCGACACGGGCTTTGCCAAGGACCAGCGCCCGGACGCGTCTGTCCGCTGCCGCTCGACTGCCGCCCTTTACATGACCACGGGCTACCTCTGCCCCTCCATCATCAAGGGGGGCGAGTACTCGAGCAAGACGGACGGCTACGCCATCGGCATCACCCTCCTCGTCTGCCTCACCAACCGGTCCGAGGTGCAGCTCACCGACCGGTGCGAGGACGAGTTCGAGGAGGACTGGACCGACATCGACGTGACGAGGATCGCAGACGCGGCGGCGGGGTGGCCTGAGCCTGCGGCGCGCGCGGTCAAGGACCTCGCCAAGGCGGACGGGAAGAGCCTCTGCCACGACAGCCTGCGCAAGCGGCCCACGCTGCCCGAGGCTCTCGCGACTTTGCAGGCGCTGCTCTCTGGCTCGCAGCGCGGGGCGGGGATGGAGGAGGCTGCGCCGGCACTTGGAGACGAGGCCGCCACCGCCGCCCGCACCACCGGCTACGAGCCTTCGCCGCTCTCGGTGCAGGTGCGCGGCATGCGCACGTCCGGCGACGCGCAGGCGCGCATCCAGGACAACATGATGCTCGCCTTCAAGACGCTGATGCCGCGCCTCGACGCCGTGTACGCCTCGCGCTCCGCGGCGGCGCCCGACGGCTTCGAGGAGCGCATCAACTTTTGGCACCGCGAGTGCGGCCTGCCGACCGAGCTGCGGAGCCAGCTGCACTCGCTGCGCATCTGGGCGAATGCGGCGAGGCACCACGACGCGGCGAGGTGGAGGAGGGACGGGCCGCGCAGCGAGGGGGAGGCGTCGCGGCTCGTGGCCGCGGTGACGGAGGCGATCGGGGCGCTCGAGGGGTGAAAATACGTTACGGTTGACTCTCGCATGCGACACTTTGCGGTAGAGGCTCGCGGCCGCCCATATTCGCCCCTTCTCCTCTCCAAAATGCCAAAGGCCAAACCAAATGCAAAAGAAAAGAAAAACTAGCAAAATGGTTAAGCGCGCGCGCATTGCTCCTTTTTCGCTTCCTACGGTAGGCGGTAGCGGCAAGTGCGCACTCTCTAGCAAGGAATGTGATTGGGTGCGCACTGGCACGTGCGACTATCCTTCACTATGCCTGCCCACTTGCAAGTGCCCGCCGATCCATGGCACGCGTAGCTATGACAGGGTCAGGGACCGCGGCCGCGGAACCGGCGGCGGACGGGGCTGGGCTAGGGGCAAACACTGAAAACGTAACTTGATCGGGGCGCGGTTTTTTTTGGACTAGACTACTCGGGGGAGGTGGGCGAGTGATTGGGTAGCTTTGGGGCCGCCGAAAATAATGAGAACCGCCCCCTATATCTCGCCAAATCTCGATTTTTCGCGGGAATGGGGGCTTCTCAGCCCCGCGCGAGCTACAGTGACTCCCCAGGGCTTGTCCCGTGGCCCAAAGTGGTACCCCGAGCTCCTCCACGAGCGTGGGCAATCAGGAGACACCCACAGTCACGGCGGGCGAGGAGTTGGGTGACGGCCAACTGTCGATTACGGCGCCTCTGGAGCCTCCTGTATCGTCGGTTCGGCTCGAAGATCGTGCCGCATCCGCATGTAAACCACCTCCGCGCCCCCGCTGGCACATGTCCGCATTGCCCGAGCCTGGGAGAAGTTCCCAGTGCCCGGAGGCTGCACAGGTCCGCGAAACGCTGGCGCTGCAGCTCCCGGCGCGCACCCCAGATTCGCGAGGAAAACAGCCGAAAACGGGTCGCGCCGCGATCGACCCTCAGCGAGCCCAGGCGAGCCTGGTAATCCCACCCGGTGGTAAGCGCACGTCCTCCGCGTAATCTAGCGCGCTGTGCAGCCCGCCAGTGCATGGCGCCGACCTGGGCCGACTGGTCGATCTCGCCGCGATCTCGCCATCCAATTCTCGGTCAGGTGTAGTGGATCACCTTAAAATCCTGGATTAATTCCTGAGCCCACCTGGCCCCACCAGACGGGTGGCACGAGGCGCCCGGGCCACTTTTTAGCGCCTCCCGAGCCTCCCGGCGCCTCCTGTGGCCTCCTGAACCCTCTCCCCCGCAGCCTCTCTCGGCGACGTGGGGAGCGGCTGCCGTCCACGGCTCGCACCGGCTCTTCCAGCGGCTCCACGCTTGCCGCCTGTGACGCCCGCGCCACGCACTGCCACGCGGCCGCTCGAGAGAGCGGTCGACGCCCATACTGCTGGGCGTGGCGCTCTATCGGTCGACGCTTCGGCGTCGCTGCTTGGTTGGGGACCCGTGCCTCGACGCGGCGGCGCGGCCAAGTACGGCTCGGTGGCACAGCGCGTCGCCACGGATGAGATGCGGCCACAAGCGGCTGGGGAAGCTCCAAGAATGTTTCGTTCTACTTGCAGGAGAGGTGCAAGCAATTCGGGTGACTGCATGGCTCTTCGCGTCGAGGAGCTCGGATGCGTCCAAGAGAATGAGTTTGAAAGCGCCGTGTCTTGCGGCATATTCCGGGTCATCGATCCACAAACTAGCCGCTATTAATGAATATGGGAATGTTATCTAGTTAAGGCAACCCGAGCGACAACTCACGCGCTTGGCGTGTGTGTGCCTGCTGCTCAAGGTCAAGCGGATATGAGCATATACACAACACACATACCACGGTCCGTCTGCATCCTCGGCCCCCGCCTGCGCCGCCGCGACCTGCCGCTCGGCGCTCGCCCGCACGCGCTGCACCGTCGCGTCCGACTTCTCCTTCGCCTCGCGCTCCGCCTCCTTGCGCACCGCGTTGACGCTGACCTCCTGGAGCGTCTTCACCTGCGCCCTCAGCTGCGAGGAGCGCTGCTGCTCCCGCCGCGCGGCGGCCGCCGACGCGTCGGCGCTCGCCTGCAGCTCGGTGTACGAAGGCGCCGCCTCGGGCTCCTCCCGCGTGCGGTGCAGCGCCGAGAGCAGCTCCTTGCCGCGCACCTTCAGGAGCGAGGCGACGGGCACCGCCGCGGCGATGTGCCGGTGTAGCGTGTGGGAGCCGTTGGCCGGGTTGTACGACGGGCCCGAGATGCCCTTGGACTTGGCGAGGCAGTTCTTCAGATAGTTCGAGAGCGCGGTCTGCCCGACGTCGTGGTCGATGACCTCGAGCTGCACCAGCGTGCGCGTGATGTGGGCGAGCGGCTCCGCCGCCCGAGCGGCGGCTTGGCTGAGCAAGGACGGGACGAGGCCCTTGGCGAGAGCCAAGTTACGCCACTCCGGATCGTCGGTCGGAGGCTGCCATCGCTCGCGCAACTGCGCACAACACGCACACACGGCTCAGGCAGCAAGGCCGAGATAGAGCCGAGATATAGCCGAGATATAGCCGAGATATAGCCGAGGTGTAGCAGCCGCGGCGGCGGCTCGGGGGGCGGTGGGAGAGCAGGGCGGGCGCCTGCTCGTAGCGAGTCGACTGCAGCAGCACGACGTTCATCCACTGGTCGACGAGCGTCGGGACGGCGACCCACGAGCCGTCCGCGCCGCGGCCATGTAGCAGCACGAGCAGCGCCCATGCGTGCACCTCCGCCTCGCTGGGCAACGCCTTGCCCGAGGCGCACAAGATCGAGTTCCTGCGGCGCGGGTGAGCGGCAAGAGCTCGCCAAGGCGGGGCGAGCGCGGCCACGGCGAGGGCGGGCACGCACCGCTTCGATTCGGGCGCCCCGCGCTGCAGCGCCGCGCGCCGCTCAAGCTCGGCCTGCACGTTCTGGAGGATCTGCTGCAGCTGCTCGGTCGTGACATCTGCGGCACACACGCGCAAACCTGAGACCCCCACGGGCCCGGCGGCGGCGCGGCGAGCGGGGCGCGCGCAGGGGCACACACGGGCGTCGCGGACGCGCGGGCGCAGCGCGCCTGGAGCACCAGGAAGGGTGCCACCGTGAGGAAGGGCTCATCGTGATCACCTGCACGCACAGGCATCGCAGATCGTCAATGTCCCGCTGTGTCCCGAGCTTGGGGCTCGCGCTCCGGCGCCACGGGCTCGACGCGAGGACTCTGGAGAGAATGTCAGAGTGAGAGTGGATGAGGTTGGAGTGGAGGCGGCAATCGCCGTGCGGGCGCGCCCGGGGCTGCAGACTCCTCCAAAGCAGCGGGACGGGAGCGCGCGCGCGACCGCGGGCCGGATTTTGCGGGGGAACTCGGGGGGAGGGCGCCCCGGACACGCCCTGCACGCGGCGCGGGCTGGCGCTCACCAGGAGCGGCAGCATTTGCGGTCTTCTTGCGAGGTTTTTCTTTCGACGCCATCATTCTTTTCCCTAACAGCGGCCTCACTTGTCGCATTTGCGAGGAAAGCAGGCGCGAGCGCTGCGGCGCCGGAGTCTTTCGGTCACCATTCTGGACCATCTTAATATTTTTCAATGATTTTTGCAGGGTCTGAAAGCTGAGACTCAGCTCTTCACGCTCGGCATGAAAGCAAGGTCCGTCCGGGGGGTCCCATTTTTCAGTATTTCCCCCTAGCTGGGCCGCGAGCGAGGCCGAGCGCGCGGAGAGGGCGCCTTGCACGCGCGCAGCTCTACGCGCGGCGGGACTGGGGGCCGCGTGTGTGTGTTGTAACGTACAAGGTCGTGCAAACGCGAAAAGGCATGCCCCGGGCACCACCGCGCGCGGCGCCGCGCGCGATCCAAACGCGAGAGCCGAGCAGAGCTCCCCACCGCCAAGAATCCAGCCACAACATGCCGCCCTCGCTCCGCCGCTCCGCACGGCCCTCGCCCACCTCGTCCGCCGCTCACCGTACAGCGCCGGTGGTCCCCTCCCCCACCGCCGCCTCTCCTCCGGCCCCTCCTCGCCACATGGTCCACAACAGCCCGAAACAAAAGCCCGAAACACCGCCTCCACAAGGTCATGCCACTGCAGCTGCTCGCAGCGCCAAAGCCGCACAGCTGCCCAAGCGCCCGCGGACAGGCGTCAGACTCGTCGGTCGCCCCAGACGTCGTGCCCGCGCACCTGAAGGGGGGAGGAGGGGGGGGGGGGGGTCGAGAGGGCGAGAGGGCGGGGTCGCGCACCTGCAGCTGTGTGGCTGTGGCTGTGAGGCGAGTGCCGCTCATGTCATGCGTCATGCGAGGTGGGGCGAGGGGCGAGAGGGTGAGGTGGGCTGTGTGGCTGTGGCTGTGAGGCGAGTGCCGCTCATGTCATGCGTCATGCGAGGTGGGGCGAGGGGCGAGAGGGTGAGGTGGGCTGTGTGGCTGTGGCTGTGAGGCGAGTGCCGCTCATGTCATGCGTCATGCGAGGTGGGGCGAGGGGCGAGAGGGTGGGGTGGGCGAGCGTCGGTAATGGCGCGCGAAGGCCTGGCCGCCAACGGTCGCCCGCGCCCTCGCTAGACCTCGGCCTGATCTCGGCTGGACCTCGGCCAGATCTCAGCTAGATCTCAGCCAGATCTCGGCTGGATGTCGGCATGCTCTCGGCGGCGCCTTGTGCTGGTCAAAGATGCGCGCGTAGTCCTCCTCGCCGAGCTCCTTCCGGAGCCTCATCATGAGCTGCGCGCACAGCGAGGGGGAAGTGCGTTGGAGGGGCGTTCTGCTCACCAGCTTTGGGCGGCCGCCAGCTGTCACGAGATATCCACGATGTGGCGTGTGCGGGCGCTTCGGGTTGTGCTGGCACCGCAAGGTTAGTGGCGGTGTGCTGGAAGGGGCACGGCAGAGGGGAAGCTTGACACGTGCGCGCAGACGCGTGCGGGCAAGGACGGGTGTGCGCTGGCTGCGTCGCGCAAAGCCAGGCGCGCGTGTGTGTGTATGTCGGTGAGGGAGGCGGAGAGGGCGAGTGCTGCGCTCACTTTGAGCTCGTCGATCTCATCCGCCGCAAACTCCTCGTCGTCGCCGTCGACGTTGAACAGCCGCCGCATCTCGCGCTCCACGAGGTCCTCGCCCGGCGGGAACGTGCCGTCCGGGGCGAGGCCGTCCTCGCCCTTGGAGTCGAACGACGTAAACCTGCGGCGCGGGCGGCGCGGCGGAGGCGGTCGGCTTGAGGCGGTGGGATGGCGGCGGTTGACAGACGGCATTGGGCTGGTGTATTGTGCGCGCGGCGCGGATTGGCGGCGATGTGGCTGCGGCACGCCGAGAATCGCGGCGCGGCGCACGGCTGCAGAGCGGTAATGGGTGGGGCACGAGCAGGGGCGTTACGCCAGCACACGCACCATGTGTCGCCTATCTCCGCCTCGTCAAGCCCCATGCTGGGCGGTGGTCGCAGCACCGTCCGGCCCCGGGAGGGCAGCGGCCGCAGCGGCGCGAGCAGGGCGGTCGCCGCAGCGGCGGCGAGAGCCAGCACAGCCAGCACGGCCATCCCAAAGTCCGACAAAAAGAATTCTCGGCATCCCGTGTCTCACCGCACACTCACACACCTCTCCTGGGTTGGCCTGGTGCGTCCGGGTGCCGCTCGCCGCCGTGCAGCATCGGCCGCTCCTGAGCGCTCTGCGGCCTCAGGCACGTGGCGACGGTGTGGGCCCATGTGGGCGGCGCGGGCCTCGCGCGTATGGCGTACTCCTCGGGGGAGCCGGCGAGGGTGGAGACGATGTCGTGCCAGCAGATGCCCGACTTGGGCAGCCGGCACACCTCGAAGCCGTCGTCCCAGTACTCCTCGTGGAGAGGGACAAAGACGGCCCTCCCTGCCCACGTGACGCCCTAGGAACTCGTGCTTGGACGTGAACTCGGCGAGGGGCAGCAGCTCCTTGGCCTCGACGAGAGTATGCGGCCGGAAGCGCGAGAGCGCCTTCCTCTCAGCCGGCTCCGGCGGCCGCGCGGAGGCGCGCAGCTTCTCGCCCTCGTCGGGCTCGTCCCACGGCTCCACCTCGATCTCCGGGGGCCTGCCCGTCGTGCCGCCGACCAGGTCGAAGTACTCCGCCTTCGTCTTGTCGTCCCACTCCTTCCACGTCGCCGTGATCTCGCCGTGCTCCTTCTTGAGCCTGTCATGCGCCGCCCGCAGCTCGTCGAAATCGGAGCCCGGCGCCTTGCTCACGTCAAGGTCGCGGAAAGGAGTATGCAGCTGGCGCATGGGACCAGCGACGAGCGCCCACGTGCCAATCCACGCCGGCTCGCGAATGTCGACGGCGCTGGTGAGGCCCATGCCGCCCATCTTGACGGGCAGGCGCGCCTGCCTGCGCGCCCGCTCCCAGCGCTTGCCGGCGGCGCCGACCCGCGCCCCGCCGACGAGCTTGTATAGCGCCGCGTCAATCAGCTCGTCGTGCCTCTCCGCTGCCGGGAGGGTGACCGACGGCGGCATGACAAAATGATTATCCCGATGGTAGCGAGGATACGTCTAGCTGCTTGCCGTTGCTGCTCCGTCTCTTGTTGCTCGGGTCATCGCGACTGGGAGGAACATGATCCACGGAACTCCACAGATCGATTGTGTCATTTGATGGGTATCACAGAGCGAAAGCTGCTTGAGGCTGATTAGCCGAGGCGCCGCTGCAGAATGGGCGCGGAGCGCCGTGTGCGCCGCGCACAGGACCTACCTGGAGGCGGTCTTCTGCCACGCCGACTATGACTTGGACGCCATCGCAAGGAGCGTGGGCGCCGACTACGGCGAGCCGCTCGAGCGTGTCGCCGACGACGGCGTCGTACGTCGGGAGGTTGAGGCGCTGGCGCTCAAAGTGGCCCGTGGCGATGCCGTTCACCTCGGCTGCGTTTGCGCGCCCAAGGAGTGCCACGGCGACGCCCTTCGAGATGCTATCCTCGCGCGGGCGAGGAAGCTGCGCGTGGTCGCTGCTCCTCGCGGACCGCCGGCGTCCGGCTCGCTTCGCCGGCTCGCTCCCGAGACGACGTCGGTTCTGAAGTTCAAGCCGTTACCGTCGACGAATGAACCGCCTCAGACGTCGCCCGTCGACCCGCCCTCCGAGACGCGTACGCCGCCGGCGCCGCTGCGCACTAGCGAGCTGATACCGGGCGCGGCTCTGCGCGAGCTGCGCAGGTTTAAATGGGCGTCGACGTCTGCTTCGATCTGGCGCGTCGTGGGCGGTGGACCGAGGCCAAGCGCCAGAGGCCCGCTGCGTTGCACCTGAGCGAGGAGGAGGCCATCCTGCCCGCCGGGCGCGGATGGTCGTGGCGCACACCACCCGGGCACCGATCTGTGGCACCCGATCACTCCCTCGTCGTGGCCTAGCGAGGCGTGGAAGAGCAGCGAGACGGCCGCGACGCGAGCGATGTCGGCAGGGTCGCAGCGAGAGATGGCGCGCACGAGGAGCTCCGTGGCGAGGTCCGAGGTCGAGAGGAGGCGGGCGGGCGGGGCGGCGTGGGCGAGGGAGCGGCGGTGGAGGCGGCGGGGGCGAGGCGGCGCGAGCGGCGACGCGGCGGGGTGGACATCGCAAGAAAAGAAAAACTCCGCGGAGAACAAATCCGAGCTCCCCAGCTTCCGACAAACGATCTTCTTTCTGAAAGCCACATCACGGCCTAGCAACAACAAAAAGGCCCAGCCGTGCAGCAGCCCGCAGGAAGCAGTGGACCATGCACAAACCTCTACCGTCCCGGATTCGCCTCTCCCCACTCTCGGATACGTTCGCAACGTGAAGAAGATGCACATGGCAGCACACTCCTGTGCACCCTTTCGCCCTTCTCATCACTGCCCCGGCGCCCACGCCTCGACCTTCTTGGGCAGCAGCTGGTTCGACAGGTCCTCTCCGTGGCCTAGGCCGCCGCTTGTGGCCTGGCCCCAGGTGAAGACAGCGGCGTCGGCGGTGAGGGCGAGGCTGTGGCGCTCTCCAGCCGACACAGCGACGACGCGCCGCCCAGCCAAGGCCTCGACCTTCTTGGGCAGCAGCTGCTCTTGCGTGTCGCCGTGGCCCAGCTGGCCACCGGCTCCCCAGCCCCAGCTCCAGACGCTGCCGTTGGCGGTGAGGGCGAGGCTGTGATAGACTCCAGCCGACACAGCGATGACGCGCTGGCCAGTCAAGGCCTCGACCTGGTTGGGCAGCAGCTGGCTCTGCCTGTCGCCGTGGCCCAGCTTGCCAAAGGCTCCAGAGCCCCAGTTCCAGACGGCGCCGTCGGCGGTGAGGGCGAGGCTGTGGTAGCGTCCAGCCGAGACAGCGATGACGCGCCGCCCCGCCAACGCCTCGATCTTCTTGGGCAGCAGCTGGTGCTGCTTGTCGCCGTGGCCCAGCTGGCCGTCCAAACCAAAGCCCCAGCTCCACACGGCGCCGTCGGCGGTGATGGCGAGACAGTGGTACCCTCCAACCGACACAGCGACCACGCGCTGGCCAGCCAAGGCCTCGACCTTCTTCGGCAGCAGCTGGTGCTGCCGGTCGCCGTGGCCCAGCTGGCCACCCTCTCCCATGCCCCAGCTCCAGACGGCGCCGCTGACGGTGAGGGCAAGGCTGTGCTCCACTCCCGCCGAGATAGCAACGACGCGCTGGCCAGCCAAAGCCTCGATCTTCGTCGGCTGCCACTGGTCCTCATGGTCGCCGTGGCCCAGCGCGCCCAAGCCTCCCTGGCCCCAGCTCCAAACGGCGCCGCTGGTGGTGAGGGCGAAGCTGTGATTCGTTCCAGCCGACACGCTCACAGCGCGCTCTCCTCCCAGCGTCGAGGGGAGACGGGTCGGCGTGTTGAGCCGCGTCACGCCCTCACCGTGGCCAAGGAGGCCTGGGACGTGACCCGGCGGGCAGCCGCACGACGAGAGCCGCCCCTCGCCGACGATGAAGACGCTGTGCCACTGGCCTGCCGCCGCCCTCACCGGCGGGTTGGACTCGCACAGCAGCGCAGAATAGCACAGCCACCGCACGGCGCAGCTCTCGCCCTCTGGCTGCGCCGGCAGCTCGAAGCCGCGCTCTTGCGCCCACAAGCGGATGGCCTCTGCAAGCGAGGCGTGGAAGAGCAGCGAGACGGCCGCGACGCGAGCGATGTCGAGGGGGCCGTCGAGGCGAGAGATGGCGCGCACGAGGAGCTCCGTGGGGAGGTCGAGGAGGCGGGCGGGCGGCGGCGTGTTCGGCGAGGGAGCGGCGGCGGAGGCGGCGGGGGCGAGGCGGCGCGAGCGGCGACGCGGCGGGGTGGACATCGCAAGAAAAAAAATCCGATTATCCGTGAGCTCCTCGGCCCTGGATGTGAGGTTACTGATTGCACTCCAAGTGCTCCAAGTGCTCCCTATGTGTACGCCAACTCAGGGTGTGTGGCAGCCAGCTGGCTGTGTGTCTTGTGAGCTTGTTTGTGTCTGTGTGTCGCTCGTGCGTGTCGTCACGCGTCATCTGTCCCGCGTCCACCCATACCGCGTTGGTGTCCAGTCCGAGCCTGGCTGTTCTTCACCTTTCTACCTACCTACCTCCCCGTGAGACACGCCTAGCTTGCGATGTCGGATTTCTGTCTTTCTTTCTTTTTTAAGGTAGGCGCGGGCGGGCGACGGCTTCCAATGCCGTCGCCCCACCACAGAAGCAGCCATATGACCCCCACTCCGACGCCCGCCCCACCCCACCATCGCGCCACCCCTGACCCCACCCCGCCCCACCCCGCTCCGCCCCGCTACTCCCCCTTCCCGGGGTACCCTCAACCGCGCGCGCGTGCGCCTACCTCGAGGGTGCTGT